ACAAACCCAAGGGGCTACACCATGAAAAATGTAACACTACTTAAAGTAGCATTACTATTTTCATTACTTTAATATTTATCCATGTCCCTTGGGCTTGAAATCTTAAGCTCTTGGTCTTGGTTCTACAAGATAAATTCTTCTTGAGATGATGAGGGCTTGCTGCACACACCTACGACACGATGGACATTTCACACTCGACAAGGGTTTGGGAAAAAAAAAAACACATGCGACGCGCAAACGACGACATGACATGCGAGTAGCGAAACCTCGCTAATGTCTTGACCGGCACAAACCACATTGTGATATACCATTCAAGCACACACACAAGTAATACATAGCAGTCACATACACTCACAACAAATTCCATGCCATGCATGCACACACACGAACAAGGACGACAAGCCGAGTGCAAGCGATAGGGTTGCACCAACACGTTCGACCGCAGTCTTTTAGACCGGAGTCCTTTGGGCCCAAGTACTTTGGACCCGAGTCCTTTGGGCCGGAGTCCTTTAGACCAGAATCCATTGGACCAGAGTCCTTTGGATTGCAGTCCTTTGGACCGGAGTCCTTTGGACCCGAATACTTTGAGCTCGAGTCCTTTGGACCCGAGTCCTTTCGACCAGATTACTATGGACCAGAGTACTTTCGATGGGAGTCCTTTCGACTGGAGAACTTTGGACCGGAGTACTTTGGACCAGATTACTTACGACTGGAGTACTTTGGACTGGAGTCCTTTGGACCAGAGAACATTTGACCAGAGTACTTAGGACCGGAGCAAATTGGACTGTAGTGCCTTTGCCAGGAGCACTTTGGACCAGAGTACTTTGGACCGGAGTCCTTTGGACTGGAGTCCTTTGGACTGGAGTCCTTTGGACTGGAGTCCTTAGGACTGGAGTACTTTAGGACGTACTACTCTGGTCCAAAGTACTCCGGTCCAAAGAAATCCGGTTCAAATGAATCCGGTCCAAAGGACTCCTGTCCAAAGAACTCCGGTCTTAAGTACAACGTCCCAAAGTACTCCATTCCAAAGGACTCCGGTCCAAAGGACTTTGGTCCAAAGTACTCCTAGCAAAAGCATTACGGTCCTATGTGCTCCGGTCCAAAGTACTCTGGTCAAAAGTACTCCAGTCCAAAGTACTCCGGTCCAAAGTACTCCGGTCGAAAGTACTCCTGTTCAAAAGACTCCGGTCCAAAGTACTCCGGTTGAAAGGACTCGGGTCCAAATGACTCGGGTTCAAAGTATTGGGTCCAATTAACTCCGGTCCAAAGGACTCCGATCCGAAGTACTGCGGTCCAAAGGACTCCGGTCCAAAGGACTCCGGCCGAAAGGACTTCGGCCCAAAGGACATGGGTCCAAAGTACTCGCGAAGAAAGGGCTCTGGTCCAATGGACTCCGGTCGAATGTACTCCGGTTGAAAGTTCTTTGGACAGGAGTCCTTTGGACTGGACTCCCCTGGATCGGATTCCTTTGGACCGGAGTACTTTGAACCGTAGTACTTTGGACCAGAGTCCTTTAGACCGGAGTCTTTTACACTGGAGTAGTTTCGTCCAAAGTACTTTGGACGCGAGTCCTTTGGACTGGAGTACTTTTGATCGGAGTACTTTCGACCGGAGTACTTTCGACCAGACTCCTCTGACCGGAGTACTTTCAACCGGAGTCCTTTGGGCCCGAGTACTTTGGACCCGGGTCCTTTGGACCGGAGTCCTTTGGACCCAAGAACTTTGAACCCGATTCCTTTGGACCCGATTCCTTTCGACTGGAGTACTATGGAGCGGAGTACTTTCGACTGGAGTCCTTTCGATCGGAGAACTTTGGACCGGAGTTCTTTGGACCGGAGAAATCTGGACCGATCAGAGTACTTTGGACCGGAGTCCTTTTGTCCCGAGTACTTTGGACCCCGGTCCTTTGGGCCGGAGTCCTTCCGGCCGGAGTCCTTTGGACGAGAGTCCTTTGGACCACAGTCCTTTCGATCGCACTCCTTTGGACCGGAGTCCTTTGGACCCAAGTCCTTTCGACCGGAATTCTTTGGACCTGAGTACTTGGATGGGAGTGCTTTTGACCGGAGTACTTTGGACAGGAGTACTTTGGACTAGAGTACTTTGGACCGGAGTACTTTTGACAGGAGTATTTTGGACCGGAGCACATTGGACCGTAGTGCTTTTGCCAGGAGTACTTTGGACCGGAGTACTTTGGACCGGAGTCCTTCGGTACGGAGAACTTTGGACCAGAGAACATTGGACAAGATTACATTGGACCGAAGTTCGGAGAACTTTCGCCCGGAGTACTTTGGACTGGAGTACTTTGGACCGGAGAACTTTTGACCGGAGAACTTTGGACCGGAGTACTTTGGACTGGAGTTCTTAAGACTGGAGTACTTTTTACCAGAGTACTTTGGACCAGAGCACATTGGACCGTAGTGCTTTCGCCAGAAGTACTTTCGACTTGTGTACTTTGGACTGGAGTTCTTTGGACTGGAGTCCCTTGGACTGGAGTACTTTGGGACGTAGTACTCCGGTCCAAAGGAATCCGGTCCAAGGGAATCAGGTCCAAGGATTCCTGTCCAAAGTACAACGTCCCAAATTACTCCTGTGCAAAGGACTCCGGTCCAAAGGACTCTGGTCCAAAGTACTCAGGTCCAAATTACTCCTAGCGAAAGCATTACGGTCCTGAAACGGGATCTCCGGTCGAATGTACTCCGGTTGAAAGTTCTTTGGACAGGAGTCCTTTGGACTGGACTCCCCTGGATTGGATTCCTTTGGACCGGAGTACTTTGGACCGCAGTACCATCTGAAATCGTGCGCAATACTATTGCATACGCTCAAATCCTTCACAATTTTCCTAGTGCTCACCCCCTTATACAAAATGGTGGATCCAGGAAGAGTGCGAGTAGATCCCTGCAAAGTTTGCACTAGCCTCGTAGATAACATGCCTAGAGGGTCTGGATGGTGATCAAGGCCAAGGTTCGATGGACTAGGTACTAGAAACGCTGCTCGGAAGTTTGCTCTTTGTCCTCGGAAACAATTGTCCAGATGTACTTTTTGTATATCTTTTGACACCGAGTTAGATCCAGTGTACTATTATGAATTTTAGCACCGTGAACACATCCACTATGTGCCCCTCCCAAAGCGTACCACCATTAAACATTAAGACTTTATGTACAGTGGTCGGAAAGCCCAAAAACCCTGATTAATGCAAAACATCCGGACAATTGTTTCCATCACTGTATGAGGGTTCGTGTAACAGAGGAAAATAGTAGGCATCCGTACTGCTGCGGGTAGAGCTCGTGCGCCATAGATAAGAGAGTCTTAATGGCTGGCTCATGGCCCACCGCAGACGTGCGGCAGAGAGTCAAAAGTGGCAAATTTTGTCGCAAGAGTCTCGGAGTTTTTGGATGCAGAGATGTGAATGGTGTCCGGCGAGTAGGAGATGTTCGTGGTATGCAATTGAAAAATAGTATGAAAGGCGACAATGTTGGTGCGATTATTGCGGTTGTGCTCGAATTGGTTGATAACTTTGTTGTTGGTGCCGGTTAGAGGAGGTCATCAACATCCGCGGAGAGAATGATGTATTCCCCTTGAAAATGGAGACGGTACATGTAGGGATTGTGAAGTAGTTGGGTGAAGCCGATGCTTAGAAGGATCTTATTTATGTGGTGCTGCCAGAGATGATGAACCTCCTTAATATGGAAGAAGGGCTTTGCAATTGGCACACCCATCGATGTGATCGACATAGGTGTGCTTTGTTCGGCGTGGATGGGTGTGTCTACTTTAGCACAGAGGAATGTTGTCTCTATGCCGATCTGTCGCAGGGGGGGTGCTTGAGGCTGCGACGGCAAGCAGTTTGCGGACGAATGTGTGGCAGCTGACCGACGCAAAGTATGTTGTGGTGCAGGTCGTACCCACGGATGAACCAGCGTGCTTTGAAGCGCTTGATGAACGTTCTAATTCTTGCCATTGTCGTGAGCAAGGTTCGCGAGGTTAGGAGTCATCAGGTACGGGCAATTCGCGAGGATCAAGAAATTATCTAGTCGGAAATCCTCCTTGGGTGCAACCATTTCGTCAAGGCGATGAGGGGGAAACTCGGGCGACAGGATCGGCAAGTTCCAGCTTTTTCCATCTTCGTCGTGGTCGTGGTCCCAGACTTAAGTCCATGTACCATAGCATGCGGCGCCTAGTTCCACGTTCCGTAGCTCGTGTGGCGGAGGAGACGGCAAACAAGATTGTTGCCGCGCTGGGTTAGTTTGAGACATTGTATCGCCATTGGGGCTAGCTTTAATCCGTTATTGTCACTCCTTTATTGGTCTGTCATTATAGGTATGCGGAGTCAAGGACTTGGGTGCATTATGCTTCTCCTTGAAGGACTAGAGATGCTTTTGGGGGAGCCTAGAGAGCAAAACAAATGTACTGTATTTTATTTGATCAATGAACTGTTTCTTGGTGCAGCGCTTACACTACGTGGCATAGTTAGATTTCCAACACATGGGGACACCAACCAACACACTTACTAAGAGCAAGCAAGCAAGTATGTGTGGCAAAAGAAGTTTGCAGTATGGCTGTTACGAGGGAGGGTATTGAACTATCACCAACCTATTTCCTGCGTTCGGGTCGGGGTTGGAATCTGCTTCTAGCGCAGACCAGACTTCCCTCGCCACAGGCGGTTCGGGCCCTCCCAACCACACAAGCCCCAACCAGCAGACCACTGACGCTGTGACCAGGTCAGCCGAACCCACGTGGATGTAAAAGCCCCACGTCACCCCAATCTGAACGAAAGGCTGGGCGGATCAAAAGTGCAGCCAGGAGCATTCAGTAACGGGCCTCGCAAGTCGTCACTCAGCCAATCACTGTCCCGCGCCCTCGCACCGCACCACACCCTTTTCGCAATTCACCTGTTGTTACAGGTTCGTTAGGCAGACCTTCCCCCGGACCTTCACTTCTCCCCTCGCCAGCCTTGGGGATCTCCGTGCATCTCGCGCTCCACATTTATCCCTGCTCCGTCACTTCATCCACCTCCGCGCCACCCTTCACCCCACTGATTCTGAGAGACCAGCAGCGACGGCTCAGGAACACCTTCGTGAGCCAGTTCACTGACGTCTCCGTGCCATGGCGCTCTCCACCCTCCGCGCGGGGACTGGCTTGCAAACGAACGCCGTCATGCCATTGCCGACTCCGTCGCTCAACAGCCCTCGTGTAACTGCTCCGCACGTCGGCCTTCGCCGCATGGCATTGGTTCCACGACACGCTGTCGCGCCGGCGCGCGCCAGCGCCCCGCGACAGGCCGCGTCGTCACGGCCGGTGCACGCAAGCAGCACCGAGCAACGAGTAGACTCTCCTCGAGGCCCCAGCAGCAGCGAGGAGCGCGGGAGGGACGGCACGTGGCTGATGCGAGGAGCAGCGGCGGCGGGGCTGGCGTGCGTGCTGGCGTTGAGCGACCCGTTCAGCGGCAGCGGCGGCATGGCGCTCGCGGCAGACACGCTCAAGACGTGCACGTGCCTGCTGGGCCAGTGCAGGTGAGCGATCGACGGGGGATCGGTGGAGTTGTGCCACGCGCCCCTACTAGCTAAACCCTTTCGAGACATTACTCACAAGCCAGAATAAACATGGCGAAATTTCTAAGTTTGATTGCAGAAATGGACACCGATACCTCAAACCTACATGGCCACGGTTGAAAGAGTCCTTGACTCTATCATGTCGCAGGCTGTGCGTGCGACTTTCCGCCTGCGAGAGCTGATGCGTCGCGTGCTGATGGCAACCACGATTCTCAATGCCGGCCCCGCTGCGCTCTTTGCCCCTTCCCCGCAATCGTTGAAATCTACTTCGCACGAGTGCGCAACCCGAACCCTGGTCCTGCCTGACCTTTCTCCTCCTTCCCCTTCCTCCTCCCTCCTCCCTCTTTCCCTCCCGCCAACCGCGCAGGACGGAGCTACTGCAGTGCCTAGGCGACGTGAAGTGCGCCGCGAACATCGCGTGCCTGCAGGCGTGCAACGGGCGGCCGGACGAGACGGAGTGCCAGATCGGGTGTGGGGACCTGTTCGAGAACCAGGTGGTCGACCGCTTCAACGCCTGCGCCATCACCAAGTCCGGCTGCGTCCCGCAGAAGGCGGACGAAAACCTCTTCCCGCTTCCGCCCGACGAGGCGCTCGTGCCGGAATTCGACGTGGGGAAACTGGACGGGGAGTGGTTCATTGCCAGCGGGTTGAACCCGACGTTCGACACGTACGACTGCCAGCTGCACACGTTCAAGCCGACGGGCGAGGGCGAGTTCCGCGTGGACATCACATGGCGCATCAACACGCCCGACGGCGGGTTCTTCACGCGGTCCGCGCTGCAGGACTTCATGCAGGAGCCCGCAAGGCCCGGCGTGCTGCTGAACCACGACAACGAGTTCCTGCACTACCAGGACGACTGGTGAGACAGGGGGGAGAATTCGTGGTGGGGGAGGGGGGGATCAGGGGGGTGTGTGTGGAAAAGAAAGGGGGGGGCGGGGGAAGAGGGGCGAGAAAAGGAGAAGGGGTCCATGGCTGGATAGGTGTGAGCTTGTCGTGCAATTTTTCTCACACCAGAGCATGGTACACAGCAGAGAGGGGAGAGGGAGGGTGAGGTGGGCGCAAGTTGTAAGGGGACGAGAGTAAGGGGAATGGAGAGGGGGGGAAGGTTGCTACACATTCAAGTGAGACGCTTTGGGGAAGAGCTAGTGGGGGCATGTTGGTTATGGAGTGTTCTCTTGGTAGATCTTAGCATTCACTCCTTACTCAAATGCAAGCTTTCTCTGCTGTTGTTGCGGTGTGGCGTGGACATATGGTTCCCCTGCAGGTTCATCATCTCGTCCAGCATCACGGGGTCCAAGGACGACTACTTCTTCGTCTACTACCGCGGCAGCAACGACGCCTGGGACGGCTACGGCGGCGCTGTCGTGTACACGCGCGCCCGCACCCTGCCCAAGGTCTTCCTCCCAGAGATGGAGCGAGCAGCTGAGTCAGTGGGGCTCAAGTTTGCGGATTTCACCACCACGGACAACACCTGCCCGGCCGAGGTGCCGCTGTTTGCCCGGCTGGAGCGAAAGGTGGAGGAAGTAGAAAGGGCGGTGGTGGCTGAGGTGGTGCAGTTTGAGGAAAAGGTGGTGGAGGCAGAGAAGGGGTTAGTGGCGGAGGTGATTCAGCTGGAGGAGAAGGTGGTGGAGGCAGGCAAGGACGAGGTGAAGCTGTTTGAGGGGCTGAGGCGAGGGTTCATGGAGTTGTTCAAGGATGAGCAGAATTTCGTTAAGGGGCTGAAGAAGGAAGACAGGGAGGTGCTGGAACAGATGGAGGCGATGCAGATGGGGGATGCCGAGGACTTGGAGGATCTTTTCAGCAATCCCCTGCCGCTGAGGAAGATTAGGCCCAGGTCATAGGTGTGGTACTTCTATTTGAATAATGCGTCCATTTTTTATACGGTATGTGCAATGCGCACTAATGCATCGTGTTTGTTTCTTCCACTGCTTGGTGGTGTGAGGTGTGTGCTGTAAGTGAGTTGCCATGTAATGTTGCGTTCTAATATATGAAATGGTAAATCTCCTTCCCATCTCAACGTTTTGTCTATGTCATCTATAGTTTATCAAGTCAAATGTACCTGAAACACGAAGTTCCTTACAACAAAATTCCCGAAGATCTTCCCCCCAATCAGTGCAAACCTGACACAAGCCGCGAACCGCGCTCGTGGTTCCGGGGTGAGACAACAACGCACCAAAGATGTGTCCAGGGCGACGGGAGTGAAAGCGAATTTTCCCCAAGTCCAGCATGGCATGGCAGAGCTCGGATTCCTCTGTCCCAGCGCGGGTTTCAACTTTGAACCCAAACCTCCTCCCTTGCACGCGCCCCCTCGTCCCCTGCAGATGTGTCATCCCTCGTGTCCTTTCGCTTGCACTCAAATGATCGTGCTTCTCAGCTGCAGACCAAGGCTCAGTAGACCAATCGCGAATTTCTTTTCCCGTCGACCTTGCCTGGGCCTTACTAGTCTTATCGTCGAATTTATCATTTTTTATCGACTCAAGAGGTTATGTCCTCGCCACATTCTCCTTCCACAACGAGCAGCGAATCAAGATCTCGATTTCTCAGTCAGCATTCGCCGATCCACCAATCTCAGCCGCTCGCGCGTCGCCCTAGGACATTCTCCCAATTCTCGCCTCGTGTTCAGTGAATTCGCCTCGTGATAGGCGTATACATCAAATCTCTACAATCGCCTCGTGATAGGCGTATACATCAAATCTCTACAATCGCCTCGTGATAGGCGTATACATCAAAACTCTACAATCGCTTCGTGTGTAAGTCTGAGCCGGGCGTGCACGGGGACACGAGCTAAATCGGCGAAACCCTTTCGAGCTAGCGGCGCTTTATAAGATCCGCCAGCCATGGCGCCGGCCCCAGTGGACCACACCCGAGTGGACGTCCCCGACCACGCCACGGTGCACGCCGCGCTGCGTCTCGACGCCGCGCAAGCCGACAACCCCCTCCTCGCGCCGCTGCCATGCGGTCACGCCGGGACCGACTCCGAGCCGCCGCGCCTCGATTACGTTCTCCTGCCCCACGAGAGCGAGTGCGAGGGGACGGCGGCGGCGGAGGGGTCCGGCGGCGCGGTGGCGTCGTGGGGGGGCGAGGCGATGGCGCAGTGCGGCGTGGGGCTGCCAGTGGCGGGGACCATGGCGGTGAACAGTTTCATGCAGCTGCTCTGCCTCGCGTTCGTCGGACACCTCGGCACGGAGCAGCTCGCGTGCGCGTCCATTGCCACGGCTCTCGCTAACGTCACTGGCTTCTCGCTGCTGGTGCGAACTCACTCCACTCCTCCCAGAACCGGAATCTGCAAATGTAGGGGGTTCCCTCACAACGCACTCGCACGCGCGTCACGGAATCCCGCCGTCCCCTGCTCTCGTCCCGCCCCTCCCGCTCATCACGTCCCCGCATGCGCATCCATCGCCACGCCGCTCTCGCTAACGTCACCAGCTCTCAGAACCGGAATGCGGCATCTCGCGCCACACGCATGCGTATTAGGAGCGCCGGATCACCCCCAGCGGCCACATTCCGTCTGCCGCTCCTCCCACCCCTCTTCGTGTCATTCTCTTCGTGCACTCTTCCTCCTCAACCCATATCCCCTTGTCCATTGAGCCGAGTCACATTCTTCCCGCCCGCCCTCCCCCAACCCCCCGCTCCAACCGTCCACCCCACCGTCCCCACGCGTCCACCAGGAGGGTCTGGCTAGCGCGATGGAGACGGTGTGCGGGCAGGCGTACGGCGCAGGCGACCTGGCGTCGCTGGGCACCATGCTGCAGCGCGTGCACCTCATCCTCACGCTCGCCTGCCTCCCCATCGCCGCCTGCTGGCTCGCCACGAAGCCGCTGCTGCTGCTCACAGGACAGGTGTGCTTGCTGTGAGCCCTCTGCTGCTAACAAGTATGGCGGTGGGGCAGGGATGGGGATGGGGCACGTATGGTGGCAGAGCACGTATGGTGGGGCAGGTATGGCATGTGTGATCGAAGGGCATGCATAATTCGAGCCTTTCTGGCCCTGCTGCTCACTCACTCGCATCCTTCACCAATCCCGTCTCTGCTTACCCTCTCACTCTTCCTCTCCTCGCCACCCCTGTGCCTCCCCCACACTCCAGGACCACGTCATAGCGAGCGGGGCGGCCATGTACATCGCATGGGAGATCCCGGGGCTGCTGGCGTCTGCCGCCTTCCTGCCCATCACCAAGTTCATGCAGGTAGGTCCGCACTCTCGCTGTGCGCGTTCTTTTCCATGCCTCGCCCAGCAGTCGGCTGCTGTCGCTGAGCTCTTGGCTTGACCTGCGAAGCACAGGCCAAGCGAGCGATGTGTGCTCTGCATACCAGCTCCCCTTATCGCCTCAAACCCTCCTCAAACTCCCGCTTTTTCCCTACTCCGTTCCCTCCTCCTGTCTCTCCCACACCCACCCCCCACCCACCCCCTGTGTAGGTGCAAGGCGTGACGCTCCCCCTCACGCTCATCTCGCTGGTCTCGCTCCTCTTCCTCGCCCTCGCCTCCTACCTGCTCATCCACACGCTCGCCCTCGGCTTCACAGGCGCCGCCATGGCGCTCTCCCTCACGCTCCTCTTCCAGCTCCTTCTCGCGCTGCTCTACCTTGCACTCCTAGACCCCTCGCACCGCCTGCTCTCGCGCTGCTGGCGTGGCTGGTCGCTCTCCCTCTGCTTCTCCGGCTGGCTGCCGTATCTCGCGGTGGCCGTGCCCTCCTGTGCCATGATATGGTGAGGAGTGAGGTTGGATCGTGGTGAGTCACGGCATGGCGAGGAGCTAACGTGGTGAGGTCCAATTATGGTGAGGCCACATTAGAGCGGCAAGGGACTGACACGTGGCGTTGTATCAGTGTGCCTGCAATGCTGGATCCCTGAACGTGCTCTCTGCTTCATCTCTCCCTTCAAGGCACTGCCTGTACGCTGATGCCCCCTGCTCAGGCTACTTCCCAGTATGACATGGCTATTTCCCAGTATGACATGGCTATTTCCCAGTATGACATGGCTATTTCCCAGTATGACATGGCTATTTCCCAGTATGACATGGCTATTTCCCAGTATGACATGGCTATTTCCCAGTATGACATGGCTATTTCCCAGTATGACATGGCTATTTCCCAGTATGACATGGCTATTTCCCAGTATGACATGGCTATTTCCCAGTATGACATGGCTAATTTCTCCTCACACCGCCCTCTTGCTTCTCCTTCCTCCTCCTTGCTCTCCGGCCCGTTCCTCCCGCCCCCCGGCTTAGTCTGGAGTGGTGGTTCTTTGAGATCGTCACTCTCGTCTCTGGCCTGCTGCCCAACCCCGCTGTCAACGTCGCTGCCATGACCATCAGGTGCATCCGTCGGCCATGCTCTGCCGCTGCTTCCTGCCTTTAGGTGTTTCCTTGTGGTGTAGGCATGGCATGGCAGTTGCTGTACTTCCAATGAGAAGCACATGGTCATGTAGGCATGCCTTGGGTGAGACGAAGGGCCATGAACCGATTTTCTGAGCCCGTTTCCCTTACCCATTGAACTCCCTAGGCAAGGTTCGCATTTTGGAGTTAAAGAGGGCACTTGTGAGTCGACTCTAAAGTCAGGGTGCTGCACACATTCCCTCCTTCCCTCATTGACTCCGCTCACTATGCCCCATGGCCCCCCTCCCCCATGAGCAGCCTGCAGTCCGCTGGCTTCTGCTACATGTTCTCCTTGGCGTTTGGCATCGCTGCAAGGTGCGCTTGATAATTCACCACGCCTTCAACCTTGAGCCTGTGAACCTTTAAATTCCCCACTGCTTCCATGCCCCCCGCACTTGTACCTATTGCTTCGCTGCACACTGCTTTCTCTTGCCATAAACTTTCATCCCCGTCACTGGCAACCCAGTATTAGCATCTCACAAACATCAGCCCATCACAAACATCTCATTCTGTACCCACTCACCTCGACTCCCCCTCTCCCCACCACTCCTCCCCCCCTCTAGTGTGCGTGTGAGCAACGCCCTGGGAGCAAGGAGCCCCCAATCAGCGCGGCGGGCAGTGGGCGTTGCGGTAGCCCTGTCCCTGGTGCTCTCGGTGCTCATCGCGCTCTTCCTGCTGCTCATTCAAGACCTCCTCGTGCTCTTCTTCACCGGCGGCGCCGCTCTCGATGTGGCCGCTCTAGTGCGCGAGCTCATGCCCTTCCTCATCGTGTCCCAGCCGGGCTTCTGCTTCCCCACCATCCTCTCGGGTAATGCCAGCCCTATCTTTTAGGCATCTTTTAGGCATCTCGGAAATAGTCTCGTGCGCACAAGTCTGCATGGATCAAGCATGCTGTGCATGCGCTCCTCATGCCCTTCCTTATCGTCTCGCAGCCGGGCTTCTATTTCCCCATCCATCTAGTGCATGCCTCTGAGCCGACTGACCGCTCCTGCCACTTGTCTAACGTAACCCGCTCCGTCTGCTCACCTTCCTCGCATTTCTCATTTTCCCCCCCACCAGGCGTTTTGCGGGGGTCGGGGCAGCAGGCGGTGGGCACGGGTGTGAACGCGTTCACCTTCTATGTCATTGCGCTGCCACTGGCTTACGCCCTCGCCTTCTACCCGCTCTCCCTCGGCGTTGCTGTGAGTCGCTCACACACACAGACAGAGCTAATAGCTGCCTGCAATCTGGTGAATGTTTGTATCCATGCATGTGAGGAAACAGTCAGTTTATGCTCAGCAGCACTCTTCCCACACTAATCCCACAAAACCCCCTCATTCCGTCAACCCATCTCCTCCTATCCTTCACTCCTCCTTCACTTCACAAAACCCCCCTCATTTTCGATGACCTTCAGGGTCTCTGGCTGTCGATAATCGTGGGGGAGGCCATCCAAACAGCCATCCTGGCGTACTACGTGGCCACCACTGATTGGTCCGCACAGGTATGATGGTGTCCCTCTGCCTATGACCCCTAGCTGGCAGTTCAGGATCGCCTGCTCCTTCCCCTCCTCCCCTTCTACTCAGCTCTCAACCCTACCTGCTCTAATCCCCTCCAGACATCCACTCCCTTCTCCTCATCAACCCTCTTGCAGGTGGAGCATGCAGAGAAAAGAGTGGTGGCCAACAGATGAGTGTATATTTGGCAGTACATATTCCATGGGTTATGGGTTGTTGAGTAAAAATACATCAATGAGCCAATGCCTTTATGTGTTATGTAATATGTGCTAGCATAATGTTATGGTTTGCTTGTGCATTGTCTGTTGCGATGTTTTACGTACCTTCCAAGTCTGCGTTGTGGGACTTGAGGGTGTAATAATTCTATTAGAACGAGGATAAATTCTCACGTCGAGTAGGCAAGAAGGGGTCCGTTCCGTACACGAAATAACTCAGGTTAGGGCATTGATAAGTGTTCTTTGTTTCTCATTCCAGTCAGAAAGGAAAGCCTGATGCGACTCTGCGGGTCCCACTCTCACTTGTAGCGAGTATGGAATCTCCGCGAGGCGACGCCCGAATTCCAAATCTCTTGCCCTGCGAGCCTCATGTCAAACAACATTTCCGATACTGTAGTAGTTCCGCGCGGTCTCGCCCATGGCCTCCCTAATCTCACCGCGCTTCCCGCTGAGCTCGCTTCGCGTCGTCGAGGTAACCAGCGCGCGCGAGTGTCGCGACATCCAGGTGTCGCAGCACACCACGTGGGCGCCGGCGTTGTCTCTCCAGCAGGTGAGCTCGTGTCGAGCTGTCTCCCCGATCGCCTTTTGAGTCGACTCAAAACTTAAGAGTTTCTAGTTGCTGCCACGTAAAGACCTATGGCACCCAAGTGGTGTTCACTCGAGCTCGTGTCGAGCTGTCTCCCCGATCGCCGTTTCCGCAAAGCCCTGCTAGACGCTGCGAGATTTCCCTTCTTCTTCTCCAACACTCCAAGTGGGCGACTATACTCCAACACTTCTGCTGCCTGCCACTCTTCCAGCGCCCACTTCCTCCCTCCCCCCCGCTTCCCCACCCACCTCCCCCCCTCCCCGCTCACCTTCCTCTTCCCAGCTCTGTACCGCGCTGTACTGCTCGCTCCCCCTCTCTCCTCCCCAGTTTCTTCAGCGCGAGCAGCAGCTGGGCAGCCATGCATGGGCGCAAGCCAACCTGCGCACATGGGCGCTCGTGTCAGGTGCTGCTGGCTCTGATGGGTGTGCACGTGTGCATGTGTGCACGTGTGCATGTGTGCATGTGCATCTAAGGTTGTGTTCTGGCGAGCATGGTCACACAACTCCGTGTGTTCTTTACCATGGGCCGATTGGCCAGAGCATCGTGCACTGCGCTATCAATGGAAGTCTCAACATGCGTCTCTATAAGCATGCATGGATGTCTGCATGCTTGCATGCATGCCGCACTCACACTGCCCCGTTGCCCCCTGCGTATGCCATGCGATCCCACCAGAGGCGGACGACTCAGAGCAGCGAGGCGAGGGAGGCACATCTGCGCCACAGGCCCCTGCCAGCAGCAGCAGCGCGGGCCAGAGCACGGCGTTCGTGTCAGTGCCACGCGGTAGCAGCGGCAGCAGCAGCAGCGGGGAGGGGGAGATGGTGCAGCGTAGAGTGCTGGCATCCCTCGAGACATACCGACAGGTGCACATGCGCGTTGTTTGGGGGGCAGGTTGGGGGGGAGAGGGAGAGGGGGTGCTGCTCTCGTCCACTGCCCTGTCACATCGCCTGCTCTACTGCCAGCCCTTGCCCGTCTCACCACCCACCCACCCACCCATCCGTCCATCCATCCATCCATCCATCCATCCATCCATCCATCCATCCATCCATCCATCCCCAATCCGTGCTGCCATGCCCCTCTACCCTGCAGGACGCCATTCTTCTCCCCCCCGTCGCTTCCTCCTCACCGCCACACGCCCCTCTGCACCCATCCGCATCATCACCGACCACACAATCAGCATCGCCATCACCAGCGCCATCACGCAGTCTCAAGGGCAATGCATACGGCATTGCGTCTGTTTTCACGCCTCCTGCCATGAGAGGTGAGTGGCAGGTAGAAAGTGAGCCGTATGAATCATGTGCAACCATGTGCAACCATGTGCAACCATGTGCAACCGTGTGCAACCATGTGCAACCATGTGCAACCGTGTGCAACCATGTGCAACCATGTGCAACCATGTGCAACCGTGTGCAACCATGTGCAACCATGTGCAGCCATGTGAGTTGAAAAATCAACTCAATCATGTGCCCGGCGCTACTTTGTGGTTTCACTCCCCTTTCCTCGCATCTACGATTCCCACTCTCACGTGTCTCTACTCCTCTCTCCCACAAAGCAACTGCTCTCCACCACACTCACCGCGCTGCCCTCCCTGCCCGCCAGGCCAGGGCCTGGCCACCCATCTGTGCCATGCAGTACCCTCCCTGCTCGCCCGGTCCGACCCCTCCGCCCTCGCTGCAGTAAGCGTGCTTCCCATGCGCCCTGGTGCCTCTTATCCCGCTCCGGTCGTGCTCTCGCGCTCTCTTGCTTGGTTACATATGCCATGTGGATCCTTCCACCTGGTGTCCATTGCTGTGACCGCCGTTCCCTCCCCATCCCGACTATCAGCTTCGCTTGCTCCATGCTAACCCATCGCTCCCCTCCCCCCTTCCCCCGCCTTTCCCGCCTTCCCCCCGCCTCCCCCCCCTCGCCCCAGGTGCTCTACTCAGACGTGGGCGAGCGCCTGTACGAGCGCGCTGGCTTCACCACCCCGCCGCACGTGCTGCCGCCATCCCTGCACGCGTTTGGGTTGCAGGGGGTGGAAGACGAGGGGCGCGTGAGGCAGGGCAGCGCCCGTGTGGAGTGGTTGCGACGTGGGGACGAGGTGGCGGGTGCAGTGGACGGCTATGCGGCCATGGTGAGAGGGGGGACGAGAGAAACGAGAGCGGAGAGAAAAGAGAGCGGAGAGAGTGTGCTGAGGTGGCTGCTGCATCACCACATGCAATCACGCATTCCACCTCAAATTTCTCAAAGAAACCAACCCTGTTTTTCGTATGCATGCACCCTGCCACATGCACGCCGTGTTGGTGTTGCATGCTCTTACCGAATCCCCCTTGTATCACCTGCCCCTCTTATCTCCCTCTGTCGTCCCCCCAACAGCTATCCCAGCACCCTCATCCCTCCGCCTCCTTCCTCGTGCTGCCATCAGCCGCCCAGGTGATGTCACGCACTCGACCCTGCCGCCCATAGATTGCCTCCAGAGCCGCATAAGGCCACAAGGCCACACAGCCACAAGGCCACACAGCCACAAGGCCACAAGGCCACACAGCCACAAGGCCACAAGGCCACACAGCCACAAGGCCACAAGGCCACAAGGCCACACAGCCACAAGGCCACAAGGCCACACAGCCACAAGGCCACAAGGCCACAGAGCCACAAGGCCACAAGGCCACACAGCCACAAGGCCACAAGGCCACACAGCCACAAGGCCACAAGGCCGTGTAGCGCATGCACACCTTGCCACGGTTTTCCTCGTGCCGTGTGCCATCTAGCCGTCCTGTCACTGACAAGAATCGAGGGTGGGCGCTCCAGGCATACCAGGCATTGCTGTGCACCACAGCCTCTTGGCTGAATATATTGGGGAATGAGTGTTGATGCTGTGACTGTGCGTGTGTGAGCGTGCGCGTGCAGGTGGACTGGATGGTGGAGAGGGAGCACTTCTGCGCGCAGCTGCTGGGAATCGAGCCCCTGCCGTGGTCGGGGGCACGATGCAACGACGCCCTCATGGTGCGCCTGCTGCCAGGCCACCGCACCTTGCACACCCGCCAATGCCAGTACATGGGCCTGTTGATACCACTTTGACCCGCACTCACTCTCACTCTCCCTTCCTCCTCGTCGTGTCTTTCCTGTCTGCGGCTAGCTCCCGTGTGTGTCTGTATCTGTGTGTGGTCCACTTCTCTGCTTGCGAGGTGACTGTTGAGTCGTCTCAAAAGTCACCTCGTTACAATGTCACACAACAACTTCCTCGTCGTGTCCATCCTTTCTGCAGCTAGCTCCCGTGTGCGTCTGTATCTGTGTCCACACACACCGACGTGTGTGGTCCACTTCTCTGCTTGCCATGTCGGCCGTCACCCACGTCTTGCCATTTGCCGTGTGCCCCTCCCACTGCCACTGCACGCCCAGGTGTGGACAATGGATGTGGCGCGGCACAGCAAGTACATTAAAGTGCTCCTCTTCCACGGTGTGTGCTCCTCTTCCACGGTGTGTGCTCCTCTTCCTGGTGTGTGGCTATAACTCGCCTCTTGTGCCCGTCAGCCATGGTGCTCTTGCATGTTCTGGCCATGCATTCATTCAGCCAGCTGATGGTGCAAGCACCATGCCTTTCATCGTGCCCTTTCAATTCCATTCTCTTGTCCCACGCTCATCCCTCCCCCCCCTCCATGTCTCTCCCTTGCAGCCGGCAGCAACCCCGCGGACACAGCAGCAGTCATTGCAGCAGCGGTGCACGCGGCCCTGCAGGCACACATCTCATGCACCCCCCCCTCGGCCTCCTTCTCCGCACCTTCCTCTCCCGGGGGAGTACTGGCATGGGGACCTGAGGCAATCACGGGGCAGTGGCCAATCCAGGACTGCCACCTGGCAGAGGCTGGGGTAACGTGAGTGGCAGCATGGACTTTGCTCAAGTGCAATGTGACGTGGCATGCATGCATGTACCTGCAACCCCCCCTCTGTACTTTCTGCTAATAAATTCTGCACTCAATTTGCCATACGTTAGTGTGGCCCATTTACTGCCCCACCCTCCTTTCTACCTTACTGTTGCCTCCCTTGCTGCTCTCTCCCGCTTCTGTGCTCCCACCAGGGTGCACAGGCAGCCTCGCAGCAGCAGCATCCCCATGCTCGCACCGCTCTCACCCTCTGTTGCTCCCCACAACTGGTATGCGATTCCCCCCCACTCCATGCATCTGATCCAACCATTGCTTTAGTTCGTTACTCCGCCGCTGCCCTGCATGCCACGTCACCTTGTTTGTGGCAGGCTTGCTTGACCCACCAGTGCATGCCTGTGATCTGTGTGCTGCCAGGAGTTTTATCCCTCACGCCATCTGGGTGTGACGTGACCTGTGAATGTCAAGCCAGTGGAAGGCAGACTGCCGGTAGCGGTGGCAAGCGAAGTCTGACTGGAGGGGTGGTAGGTAACTCAAGGCTGGTGGAACACGCCGTCAGTGCATTCATTCACAATTGCATGCAATGTGCATCGTAGAGAAGATTTGGTCATGATGACTCGCATTCCTGCCGCTAAACACTCTGCCTTGCAATGCAAGGTAGTGGCACAGCAGGCAAAACCCATGATAAGAGTTTTTCTTGACCTTTTCAACCACAGGTATCAGCTCCCTGCTTCGCCTGGCAGTTCTGACCAAGCATGTGCTTTAGTGGCTGACTACCAATCAACCCAACACACCTACGAACTGGTATTCGCTAGACCACATGTCCATGCGATTAGAACACCTGGATGCTTGAATTCTTCCTTTCACAACATATAGGGTGCCAAACAGATCAACATGAGACAGCCCCAGCCTGCTCCTAACTGAATGGGTGAACAGACAGGGCCGCAGCATACACGGAGGGTGGAGGTCGGAGCGATGGAGACATGAACCAGTCCCATTCCCAGGACCGGCGGGGCGGCTCTAGGTTTAATCGACGTCTTGCATGGGCTGCGCGGTGTCCTCTGTGTACTTGCCCTTGCCCTTGTCGGCCGCGCGGCCCTTGGCCTTGCGGTCCAGCAGCGCCTTGCGGTCCTTGTCGAGCTTCAGCTTCGTGATCACCACCTTGGACGGGTGCACGCCCACGTTCACCGTCGCGCCTGCGCAAGGTAACACCGCACCATTCCACGGCACAGCACAGCACACAGCACGGCACACAGCACGGCACACAGCACGGCACACCATACCTCGCCACACCATAGCACGCCACAAGGCAACACAGAGCAATGCGTTCACACCACCATCCCCAGCCGTGCCCACAAGCAGCACGTCGTTCCGCATCGCAGCATCGCCACGCCTCGATCCCCGCCATACCCACCCGCCCATGCCCCTCCAGAAACGGCCCCGCGACAGCGCGCAACCCCACCAAGCAACGACGGCAGCGGGGCCCAATAAATCCTGCCCGCTAGCGCATCAACGCGCGCCTGGCAGCGCAGCAACGCAAGATCAGGGCCCTCATACGGGCACAACCCGAACCCGCTTTCACAGGCACAACCCTCGCCCACTCACCGTTGACCTTCTCGCGCGTGATGCGCTCGATGTGGATGACCCACTTGCGGCGGTACACCTGCACCACCTTGCCCTCGCGCCCCTTGTACGTGCCGCGCACCACCTGCACCTCGTCGTCCTTGCGGATCGGCACCGACCGCACCTGCACCGCAACACGCGCCCGCACGACCAACGCCAACACAACCACGCCGCCACGGCCGGCGCCGGCAAAAAAACCCGGGCACAAGCGCAATCACAGCCACGCACGCATGGAAGGGAAGCGGGAGGGGACGAGGAGACTTCAATTGCAGGCCCCACGGGAGGACGTACGCGTTGCGTAGGCGAAGGGGAGAAAAGCTCTCGGCAGGCCATGCCTAGCGAACAAGCAACCTGATGAATCAGCACGCCCCGCGCACGGGAACGGAACCCGTGCCTGTCTGCGACATTTGCCTCGAACGACGTGGACTCATGGTCCGTCACTAGAGTCGTACGACACTGCCCATCCCAGACCCCTCAGGCAGTCGGTCGACACACCTCACTAGAGGGTACTCTTTCGAATCCCCGTAGCGAAATATCCGTGCCTTAAACCGCGAGCACTGAACTTCTTGCACCTTGCTCATGCCGCACTCCTCAGCCTGGCGAGCGCTCGCACAGCCCAATGCGCGGAGACGCGCGCGGGGCGGGAGGAGGGGGGGGGAGGGGGAGAAGTGGGGAGGGGCGACTCACGTTGTACTTGTTGCGCAGCTCCGAGGAGAGGCTGGAGCTCATGATGATGCGGCGCTCGCTGGACGACGCCGTGAAGTGCGCCTTCCGCGACTTGCGCCGAGACGAGCTCACTCCTGCGGGCGGGGGGAAGGGAGAGAGTGGGGAAGGGAAGGCGCGGAGAGGGGCGGGGAGGGGGCGGGGGGGAGGGGCAGGGGGACGGGGAGACGCACAGGGTGTCAGTGAGAGCAGGAGCACGTTGAGAGGATGATGCGGAAGTTGAGGGGGAAGCGGAAGTGTTACCGCCATCACGACAGCAGGGGGAAAAGGAGCCTTCAAGAGGCGTAGAACGAAGAGCGCATGCGGAGAGGGCATCGAGTGCTCGGTTAGCTTGCCGACTGCTGCATCTGCCTCAGGATCTGTCGCCTGAACCGACAACGCACTCAACAGTACAACCGCCTGCCGATCGTTTGCCGCGAATTGCACTGTCAACCGTATACTATCGCTGCACGCCGCAACTAGGATTGCCTCCACAAACCCTAACTGCGAACCGCTACAGATCTACCGATAACCTGATAGACAAACGCTAGCTCGACCCCACCCCAAACCATCTCCCGTCGTAAATCCTCCACCGCACAAAAAAATCACGCCCTTCAATCCCCTCGCGCCACGAATAGAGTGTGACTACCGCCCACCCACTGCCATAATCGAAGTCATCGGCTGCAAGACTGACGCGTCACCGTCACCGTCACCGTCAAGGTCAGGCGATTCCTCAGCTACGCGTTAAGGCGGACAAGCGGCGGAACGACCAACGACATGCGAAACGACCCGCGCTCCATGCAGCGAAGCTAACGGCAGAACGAAAGACCCGAGGCGGCCTGTCTAGACGAGAGCAGCGCGCGGACTTACTTGGGCTGAACTTCATTGTGTCAACTTCTCTGGGCTCCTGCGTGTTCTTGCGACGCCTTGAGTGGCGCTGAGGTGGGCGAGGTGAAGAGAAGGAAAAGGGAGAGGCGGAGGAGAAGAAAAGAGTAATGAAGGAGAGCCGCGAGGGAAAGCACTTCCACACCAGCGCCTCCCGAACCTCGCTGCCCGAACGAGCCAGCTTGGGACGGAGTGGCAGAGACTCGGGGAGCTGCTGGCTTGGTTCAGGGGTTTGCTTCATTCGGGGCTCTGCTTTCCTGCCTGAGTGGAAGAAAGTTTTGATAACAGTTGTGAACAGTTGCCATGAATGAGTACATTTCGTTGCTAACTTATCCAATACGTAACGCATAACAGTTGCCGTCCATTTTTCCTTATCTACTTACAAAAAACAAGTTGCAAATAACCAAGCCAGCCGTGCAAAAAATATCATGTATTGTAAAATGACCTTTCATGTCTCATTTTCTAAAATATTCATCAACAGAAATTGTGTAAGTGTCTGTTGGTACTCCGTTGGAGTCCAAATTCGTTGGGCTGGGTGTGAATTTCCAACAGTACCGTAGTCGTTTAATTACACGTGTCTTGTCCAATTTAGCTATTGCTAATATGCTATCCCTTCTGATGTGTCATCCGTAGTCATGTATAGCCCAAATTAAAGCCCGCCCGGCAGGTTGCATATTAGTACAGTTCAGCTTGGAGGGGTGGTGTCAACCTATACATATGGTTATATGTAGAAGTTATAGGCTAGATAGACTTGTGTTCTTAGAGAGTACAACTCCAACCCTATATCTCCCATGTACTCTCCTTTTCTAGTTATTCATGTATTCTAACAGGTGGCGGAATCCCATTGGCCGACGCAAACGTGTAGAAATGAATTTTATTGGCGAAGCCTGGGCTTCGCAGAGTCAGCGTTAGTTTCGCGCAAGCTAGCGGGGCTAGAAATTTGGCGGGGCTGCTAAGGTTTGGAGCTCTCACTTTGGTGGAGAACCACCTTGCCAACTCTGCCAAGTTTGCAAGGTGTGATTGGTTGTTTTGATCACAACCAACCCCTCGTCCTGCCCGCTTTCGAAAAATAATCGGATGGGGTTCGACGCGCTGTACTGTTCGATAATATGCGACACCAAAAAAATCGAGGCACATTTTTTTTTTCCGCGATTCTCGCCCAAACAGCGAGTACAAATTCAGGTTTCTACCAGTTTTCGCAAATTCAGGTTTCGTGAAGAACTTGGCAGGTTGGCAATGCTAAGTTTCGAGAGGTGCGCAGCCCTGCCAAGCTGGAAACCCCTCGCGAGCTTTTGGCAGTTTGACGCTAGGTGCTCGGTTACGGGGGCCTCAAGGTGCAGCATCTTGAGAAAAGGGGACTTGCAACCTGCTGGTCAGGCTTGAATCATGAATGTAAGGATTTCACGAATCCTTACTGGGTTTCGCCACAACGAGTATCGCAAGCAGTGCGCGTCCTCAGCCTCGGCCCTCAATTCTCGCGTGAAACCACCCTCGCCGACCTATTCGGCCCCGAACGTATTACCGAGGCGCCCCGAACCCAATTTGACCCCGTCAGCCTGGGGATTATCGAGCCTTTGAGTGGTCCAATCCTCGAAGTTCAGCATGGTCAACTAGCAATATATAAGCCCTAGGCCTTTCATTGTTAGAGACATTCTGTAATCACGCTCCCCTATAGAATTTTGCGCTATACTCTGAGTTATATTTCATAACAATTGGTATCAAAGCCACGATTCTGCCCATCTAGGTTCCGATAGAGGAGTAGACCCTACGGGGAAGGGGGCGGAAGGATGCTGGTGGCGTAGCGCTTCCTGTGCCGTGGATCCTCTCTGATGGATGGCTGGGATTAGCCGGTCCTCCCCTTCCCCGGGCATAGACGGAATTATTTTCTGCCGTAAGATGGTGACATTTTTGCCATGATTTTCGGGTATTGTAATCACCCGGATATAGGCGCATATGTGCTTATAGGGACTAGGTTTAAAAAGCAGCATGCACTTGTAATCGAATAAAAATATAAGCCCATGCGCTAATACGAATGACTATATGGAAGAATGAATTGAACAGACCAAAATGTAGCTGGGTTGATTTGGGTTCCAATACAACTGTCTTCAAAAGGGGATGCGTAGAAATATCGCGCGGAATGTCTGGCGAAAGTTTCGCCAGCACAACTATGCTGGAAAGGCAGGGTATGGACCAATCATAGGCAAGACAGTGATCGGGAAACGCAGGAATCTGGCTGGCGATGTGCTTGGGAGGGGTGCGAGAGTGCTGCGGGAGATTTGGCACAGAGTTTTTGATATGGAAGTTTCGCAATTCACTCGTTTTTTAATAGTAATTCAATGCGCTTATATGGAATATGTTTTAAAAAAGGTGCGCTTATAATAAAATAACAGATATAAGCGCGATTGCACTCTATAAGCCCACCGGGCTTAATAAATGGCCGTGCCTATACACGGGTGATTACGGTACGTTCGCCGGTGTTTCGTAATCTTTGGAAGGTTCTAACGGTGTTTTCGGATTGGTTTCCGAAAATTGTGAGGAGTCGTCGAGAGAAGACAAATGCAAGGGAATCCTCAGGCGGCCGGGTGATGGTCGTCAGGAGCGCGCGAATGGGCGAAAATGGCGGGACGTACAGCGATGTACGTCTGGTGCACCACGTACAGGTCATACTCGAACAGAGCAAGCTCCAAGATTGTTGGAATTTGCTCTGTTCGAGGAGAGCTGTGCGACGTAGGCGAAGTTGCACTAAGTGAGTTGCGGTGCTGTTTGTTGTGTACTATACATGGTGGGTGCCTCTGGCGTATGCTGCGATGGGAAGTCGCAGGTTTCCTCACACATGTTTGTGCGACGTTTCATGGGTGTGTTGCATATCCCAGAACGTAAACCACTCCTAAGATCATAAACAAAGGACGCAAACACGACTGCCAAAAAGACTCCTTACTGTAAGACTCGACAAAACATACGACAGTAAAATCCGAACACACATTAAAAAACACCATAAGGACACGATCACCAAAGCATGGAAAAGCACACATCAAAAGACCAGAAAACAACATTATGAATGCGAGCCCCTTAGGAGCACGTCATACGACATAACCCCCTGGTCCAAGGGCTGTATGAAGGGGGTTGTGTTCGGTGGCAGGTAGACAATGCGGAGATGAGAAAGTGCTCGGGTGCGGAATCTGCAGATATCTGCGCTCGACGCAAGCTGCGACTGCAGATTATGCGGGGAGGCATTGTCGACCATTGCACAGATGCTCCGCCCTTCTGTCATGCACTACACATTGACGTGCTCAAAGGAAGCCGTAAAAATCTATAACAGGTAAGAAACAAACCACGAAAGAAGCATACTGTCAGTATTTCGTACACATAATCATTCAATCCGAGCAGCAGTTCTTGATAAAAACAGTTTACTTTTACCTGATGGCACAGAGATGAAGCCGCAGTCTCGTCCGACGGTTTGAACCACCTGTCCAGTTGCCAACCTTACGCACGATCCATTTCCAAGTCATTTTCCCGGCTCAACTCATTATCAACTGATGCAGAAAGTCTACAGCGACATACTCAACTTGTCTGAAGCAGGACCTAAAGAGGAGAAGTATGTGATAACCTTCATCGAAGCATCTACACGCTATGTCTGGACAGCTAACTTACATGCGCGCCATCTCGCTCACTCCGTCTTCGTCGCGTGGCTCGCTGTCGCTGAACGAGAGTCAGGAGTGAAACTGCAAGAATTTCAGAGTGATGGTGCAGGGGAGTACACCAGCAATACCTTCACAGAGTACCTTCAGTCACTCGGCATCAAGCGAAAGCAGTCGCTGCCACATGCACACCAACAGATGGGGGTAGCAGAAAGGATGAACAAAACTCTGCAGGAGAAGATGCGTGCTCTGCTGACGCAGGCGGCCCTTCCACCGCAATTTTGGCCGTATGCAATGGACCACGCCGTGTTGTTACACAATCTTCTTTCTTCAACGTCCCTGCCCGAGTTTCTTCTCCGCACCTGCAGTGGACACGTACAGTCGTTTCAGTCACGCGAACAGTCGCACCTCTTCATTAGCATCTAGGCCGCATAGCGCGACAGTGACGAACAGGTACATTAGCGAATAGGTACTTTTCATAGAACTATAAATCTGTCAGGTCTTTTCATTATTAACTTTGATTAAAACAAGTTCACGTACTCAGGTTATTCAACCTTGACCTTTACATTTTACAAGACTTCCGCTGTCTTACTAGTCTACCATTCCAGCAAAGATCCTGGACCAACACTTGAGGATTTGCCAAGTGTTCGTGTTTATAGTTTTATACTTAGTCTACTACAACACCAGATGATTTACTTCAGTCTAAACTTTCAAATGAACCTAAAAAATCAGGTCTGAAAATCAGACCATCAGATCAGACCGATTTCGTCTGATAAAAAGGACCCTGGTCTGAATATCAGACAGGCCTAAAAGTTAGCAAGGACCCTGCTCTAAAAATGTACCATATCATAAGCTATTGTCAAACATGTGTATTTGTCATGTTTGTATAGACTGTATAGGGTAGCCTCTTAGAGGGTACAACACTTAGGTATATCTGTGTGTACCCTCTCTCTAACGATCATTCACTTATTCAATTTCCGATATGGTATCACGCGTAGGTAGGATCCCCCCCCCACCTACCGCTTCCGCTCCCCCCCCTAGCCCCGTCGCGCCCCTTCCTGGGACCCGTCGCGCCCCTCCCTGGGCCCCGTCGCGCCCCTTCCTGGGCCCCGTCGCGCCCCTCCCAGGCCCCGTCGCGCCCCTCCTGGGCCCCGTAGCGCCCCTCCTGGGCCCCGTCGCGCTCCTCCTAGGCCCCGTAACGCCCCTCCTGGGCCTCGTCGCGCCCCTCCTGGGCTCCGTAGCGCCCCTCCTGGGCCCCGTCGCGCCCCTCCCAGGCCCCGTCGCGCCCCTCCTAGGCCCCGTAGCGCCCCTCCTGGGCCCCGTAGCACCCCTCCTGGGCCCCGTAGCGCCCTTTCTGGGCCCTGTAGCGCCCCTCCTGGGCCCCGTAGCGCCCCTCCTGGGCCCCGTCGCACCCTTTCTGGGCCCTGTAGCGCCCCTCCTGGGCCCCGTCGCGCCCCTCCCAGCCCCGT